GGACACAATACCTTTATTTTATTTTTTGTGGTGCTGAGGATTAAACCAAGTGCCTCCCGTGTGCCAGTTAGGTGTTGTACCACTAAGCTCCAGTCCCAGCCCTAAAATGCTTAGCTTTTTTTATGCAAAAATTTTGGCTGTTTACAAGTCATTCTTTGTTACCCACCTGTGTATAGTCAAAATTCTGAAGCATGCTTTATTTCTTTAATCATGAGTACCCCCAAATCTTTAGATTTCTCTGTGTCAAGGAATGTTGCTAAGTTCCAAGATGACATTAGTTTGTACAAGTGCGTGGCCACCACCAACCTGTCTGCTTCCTGGGCTTTCTTTTCATAGAACACAACACGTCATCGAAAACTGAAGAGAAAATTACATAAACATGTGGAGTTATGTATCATTCTGCTTTAGGTTCTTCCCAGATGTGATTACGATACACATGATCTTGCTAAGACAACTCAATAATTTGAGAAGAGGCTTAGTATTTCAACGTTCCCTATTTCTGATTACCCATTGTACTTTAAAACTATTTCTGCTAATTTTTCATTTCTGATGATCCCAGTGAAGAGCATTTACCAAACACCCACAGTATCAAATCTAAAATGTAAAGGCAGCCTCCAAAGGGAACAAAACGAAACAAATTCTAGCAGAGAACCTACAAATTATGGTTCTATTTAATTGTCAGATGGATGTGAAACTGATTGGAGGAAACTGATTGCTTTGGATAAAAGTGCCGAATAATTTTACCCCCACCCCTCAAAGAAATTAGATTATTATCTGAGATTTCAGAGTGGTAGGTGGTGGATAAAATTGATGAGCCAGTCCTTGTGGTGCATGCCTATGATACTAGCTACTCAGGAAACTGAGGCAATAGAATCTCATCAAGAATTGGAGACGTCTGGGCAATTCAGTGAGACCTTAATCTCAAAAATAAAAAGGGCTGGGGATGCAACTCAGTGGTCACACGCTTACCTGGCATGCATGAGGCCCTAGGTTTGTCCTCTGGTACTAGACAAAGCCTCTTTGCAATTAAAAATTTCTTCTCAATGTCCGGGTACCTGCTTTTCTATATCAAGGGTTCCCTCATACTGAGAATGGAAACTGAGACTGTGACATTTTTCTGATTAGCATTGCTTTGCTAAATCTACATAGGTGTATTTCTTGCATTTTGTCCCATGATACCCCCCTCCTCCTATAAAAGCTGTTTGTGCCCCTGAATATGAAGAGGCACAAAACCCAAATGGATACTTCACATTAAGTATATTTGTTCAAATCCTACCTATTACACAAATAATTTGAGTGTACTTATAATACATAATTTCCCCTAAATTGAAAAAATAAAGCAACAAAAAAAATCAGGATCATGAAAAATATATAAATAAGAATCTAACTCCAGGCTAGAGGTCCCTAAATTTTGCTGTGCATTTGAATCACCAGGGGACCTGTGTGTATGTGTGTGTGGAGGTGGTGATGAGGATTGAACCCCAGGGCTTTGTGCTTTTAAAAAAACTGATGCCCATGTGGTACCCACTACTAATTACATCAGAGTGCCTGAGGGTGGGAGGCAAATGAGCAGTCTTCAAAGATCTCCAGGTGCTTTTTTCTTTTCAAGGATGGTATCTAGAGGCACTCAGAATGGTCTAGCACTTGACATACAAGCTTTCCGTATAGTATCTAACAAAATTAGGCTGTCCCAGGCTCCCAGTAATAGAATTGCTCACCTTTACACCAGGAAGGTTGGGAAGCACCCAAATCTGCTGGCTGACTTTTTTTATTTATATGGTGAGAACCAAAGTTTTTAAAAAAAAACCCAAAACAATTTTAAAAAATACCAGAGCCTATGGTGGGTCCATGTGTGCTCAATGTGTATGTGACAGAATCATGTTTGCCTTTCTTACTGAAGAGCAGAAAATCCTTGAGAAAGTGTTGAAAGCACAAGCACAGAGTTAGAAAGCTAAAAAAAAAAAAAAGCTTTTTCTTTTCTTCTTCTTCTTCTTTTTTTTTTTTTTTTAGTAATAAAAGACTAAAAGGCTTAAATAAATAAATAAATACAAAAGATTCCCCAGGTGTTTTGTGTGCAGCAAAGTTTTGGAATTAAACTTTGGGCAAAGGGGAGGGAGGGATGGGGAGGAGACATAGGGGCAGGAAAGATAGTAGAATGAAATGGACATCATTACTCTAGGTACATGTATGACTGCACATATGGTGTGACTCTACATCGAGTACAATCAGAGAAATGAAAAGTTGTGCTCCATTTGTGTAAAATAAATCAAAATGCATTCTGCTGTCATGTATATTACAACAACAACAATAACAACAAAAAGGATTTGGGAATTATTGGCCTAGGCTGCTGGTGTCAGCCTTGAATGTATATTAGCATCACTGGGGATGCTATTGAAACTACTGATGTCTTCTTTCCTACCCTGAACCTTAAATCATGTCTTTTGTGCTGGCAACTGGGCATTTAGTCAATTTTAAAGCTCTGCAGATGGTTCCAATGTGTATCCAAGGTACAGAGCCACTACAGAGGGGGAAAGTTGATGCATAGTTACAAAAGGGATTGATTTTTTTATGGGATCTTTTATGGCTTATGTCCATAAAATTGACCCAAAGTTTCCTGGTAGCCAAAGTAAATAGGAAAACATAATCAGTAGAAACAATTGTGTCATCCACAACGGAAAAGCTTACTAGTTCCTTGAGAGAAAGCAAGCTTTCCCTCTTAAGTCTGAAATACATGTCTTGTTTGAGTCTTCTTACCGGGGATGTTGAATGATGTGATATATCAACATTTTATAAACACTTCACAGTAAGTGATATATGGCAAGTTTCTTATGCAGTTTCTAATAACCATCCTTCCACTAAAGCTAAGGACATGACCCCAGATTTCAGGTGGGTACAGGTTGTTGGATTAGAGGGAGTGGGGAAGGGTGAAGGATGAGGGAAGGAAGAATGACAGCCTTCTAAAGTTCCCAGAGGATACATCCTCACCCAAAGAATCAGGCTGTAACTGTGCACCTCCAAGATTTTCTACCTAGTTTCAAATTGTAATCTTCCACCAGAAAAATTTAAGAATCTATGACTCCCCCCTCCCCCTGCAAAATATACACTTACAAATTTGACAGAGTTCTGTTTGGTGAGGGTGGAGAAGCACTGACTCTCATTTATAGGGGTCATAGGCAAGGTAAAAAGTATCTTAGAATTTATGTGTGTGTGTGCGCGCGCGCTTGTGTGTGTGCGCGCTTGTGTGTGTGTGTGTGTGTGTGTGTGTGTGTGTGCGCGCGCTTTGGGCTTTTTGTTTATCAAAAGAAAAGGAATCTAGGTTTGAAAGGTCAAAAAGCTTTGGTGTGGAATGAACAGAGATCTGTTTTTGAAATGCTCCTCCATGAAGATCCCCCACCACCACCCCGCGCCAATGGCATCTAAGCACTATGGACTTAATGGCTCAAAATGTCTGTAGAAGGTTTCTGAGTAGGATGCTGACTGTATGAGGCTGAGCCGTGAAAGGAAATCCATTACATGGCACACATTTTAAGGCACAGTCATGTCTCAGGGAATCCAAGGAAAGCTTAAGTTAGGATGAGTGTGCCCCCCTCCTTTGATCTGCAAGGCGAACAGCACATACTTGGCAATGTATTTGGGGACAAGCAAGATGATTCTTTCTGATAAACTATGTGAATTCTCTCTTAACTTCCGTGAATGAAAGTCCTAAATGCACCTTGATAAGACCCAATAGGCACTTTGATGTTTTCTTTTCAAAGGCAAATGACATGTTCTGCGTCTGTTTTCTTTTTGAACTCACAACTGCATTGAACATTAAATTTAACGGCTTCCTGAAAAAGTCGAATGACGAATTTCTCTCGCTTATTTAGTCTCTTGAATTCTTATGAATCTGAAGGATTAAATGAACTGCTTGCTAGAGAAACTGTAGCTGGGATGTGGGAAGACTCCTATGGTGGCTAATAAGACGTCTCAATCGTTTGCATATTCAAAGGATAACCTTAAACTTGAGTTTGATATTTCACGTTGCGCTTAAAAAAGAGCTGCCTTTTATTCAAAGAACCGCGCTGTTTGGAGTGGGTGGGTGTGTACTAAGCGGGCGCTGCGTCGGTTTTGTTCCCTGTAACGTTGACTCGGGCAATGGCGACTCGCGGCCACACCGGGGCAGCCTCTCCCCGGCTGGCAGCCAGGCCAGGCGGATCGTATCCCGGAGTTGACAATGTAGTCAAACCCGGCTTGCTGGGGCTACCAAGAATTTAAAGGGGTCTGGAAACATCCTTTCCCCCTCTTTTAATAACTACCGCGAGCTCAGGGCTCTAGGTAAAAAGACCACCCGTAGAATTAAACGGACAGGGAGCTTATGTTGTTCAAAAAATCATCGCTCCTAAAGGTCCATTCCGCCCCCTCCCCAAAGCGGAGGGAAGCCGGGCTAGGGAGGGTCAGCTGGGTAGGCCAAGCTCGCCTGGGCACGCCCCTGATCCCCCGCCCCGAGGCCGGGTGACCCCCGGACGCCAGCAGCTGCCGGGGGTGGGGTGGGCGTGGGGCAGAACTCCACCACCCCCTCGGCCGGCGGCCCGCCCCCCAGCTCGGCCGGTGATTGGCTTGGGGGGCGCGTGTGCCCGCCCCGGCGAGCGGGGAGGGTCCCCTCTAGGCTCCGGGTGGGAGGAGGCGGAGGAGGGGGCGGGGAGAGTGGGAGCGGGGGGCGGGGGGCAGAGGAGCCGGGTCGCCGGGATCGCAGAGCCAGCTCAGAGAGGGGCGGAGAGCGGCCGGCGAGCGGGGAGGGCTGGAGGAGGGAGGTGCGGGCCGCGGGGAGGGGAAGCCCGGCGGCTGCCGCGAGCAGGGAGAGGCGCCGGGGCTGCCGCCAGCCGCTCGGCGCGCTCTCGGGAGCCGCCTGTCCGCACGTCCCGCAGCCTTCCGGGAGGAAGCGGCGCCGGCAGCGGCAGAGGCTGCGCGCTTGGGCACCCTCACCTGCGGGCGCCGGACCGCTTCCCCAGCGGGACGCGCGTTGGGCCGGGTGCCGGACCGCCTGGCCGCGGAGGCAGAGGAAGACCCGGCGGCCCGCGCCGCAGCCCAGCAGCCCCGGATCGTCTCGGACCCCGCGCAGGGCGCCGGCTCCATGGCGACCGGGCTCGGGGAGCCGGTCTACGGACTTTCCGAAGACGAGGTGAGCGGCACCCCCTCCCGCCCGGGACTCCCCGGGGAGTTCCGCCCCGCGCCGGCAGGGGAGGGATCGGGGTTACCCCTGGGCTGCACGTCTCCCGAGCCTGCAGGGGGGCCCCAGAAACAGGAGCGCCCGGGAGCAGGGTCGGGGGAGAGGGGCTTGGGTCCTTTTCCCCTCCAGCCGAGCGCATTGTTTGTAAATAAAGCGGCCCGACGCCCTTGGAACCGGGGTTCACTCCGCCTCTCCCCGCTTTTGGGATGGGCTGAAGGCTCTTGTGCCTCTTTGCCCCGCGGGTCCCCTTCCTCTCTGAGCCTTGTCTCCTGAGGCTGTTGGGCAACTTTGCGCCTCTCGTCCCTGCAGCCCGGAGTCCATGATGCGTGTCACGTCTGGGTCGCTGCAGGAGACCCGCGCGGTGCGGGGGATCAGGGGCTGCGGAGGACCCTGATCGTTCCCCCCGGAACTTTCTAAGGATCCTGTCTGCAGGCTATCAGAAGCGTGTGTGTGCTGATCCTGGTGGTAGTGGGGGAGACGCCGGGAGCTGCGTGTGGCCGTTCCTCTGTCTTGCAAAGTCTGAAACCTGGATTGTGCATTTCGGAGCCTCTTTTTTGGTGGAGGGCCCAACGAAGGTGGCAGGTGCTGCTCGAAACTTGGAGGAAGCCTGCAGTCCTGCCAACCCCCCTCCCCCAACCCCAAGGATTTAAAGCCCGGCACCTCCGGGGTGGGTGGAGAGAGGAACGCTCCATTGATCTCTTTTATTAATAAAGCGAATGTAATAAGCCACGCCCCCAAACGGTTGGTTTCATTGGAAAGGGCTTTGTTTTTTACCCTCACTCTCTCCTCCGGTTTCCCACTCCCCCTTTTGAAACAATCCTGCTAAATCACTGCTCAGCCCTCTCTCAACCAGCTACGCTCGGCTCTTATTGGTGTGTTGCTCTGCCAAAAAGGGGGGTGGGAGGCCTGTCTCGGGCGCGGCGTGACAGGCAGACTGGATGGAGCAGGTAGGAGTGGTTTGCCATCTGGCGGGGTGCGCGCCCAGGTCTGGCTCCCCTTTCGAGAGGTGAATTTACAACCCTTGAAGCATTACTCAGCAGGGAGGTATTTCCTATCCTGGTTGTGCATTTCGTGAAAAGTTGATGCCTGGAAATTCGGGCTTTCTCGATTTCTCTTTTCTTCTCCTCCCTTCTTTCTTTCTGAGGCTCCCTTTTCTCTAGTGATGGGGGTGGGGTTTAAAGAGAGGCTATTATCTCAGACGGGCTCACGCTATGGCTTCTATGGCTTCGCTCTCAGCAGCTTTCCTACCCTGCCACGGGGTGTGTGTGTGTGTGTGTGTGTGTGTAAGTGTGCAATGCAATGGGTATCTTGGGGTGGGGAGGATGTGTAGGGGGTGACTTTTCTCTGACGGTGCTAAGCTAGTCTTGCTGGGGTGTTTATCAAAAAATGAGCACCTTTTGTCATTTTGCCATGTTTTGCTTGAGTAAAATACTTTCCTTTTTTTTTTTTTCCTTTGCGTTTTTCCCTGGAGATGGGTGAATGTAGCATTGTTTTGTTTACCCTGGGGTTCTCCTCCCTCCTGGATCCTCTCCTTTCCCTTGCATCCTCCACTTCTTCATTTAATGAGGATCAGTAGAGGGCAGCCGGGGAGCTCTTAGAGGTGCAGAGGTATCGACATTCCTGAACAAAGAGCCGCTTGGGTTAAGGTGTGGAGGGGGATGTGGACAGCTGTGTTTCATCTCAGGTTTTTAAAAACATTTTGAATAACATCATTTTTAAAAGCTCCCTGAAAAAATATTTTAAGAATGTTTTGGGAAATGCAACTGGATAAGCAAATCACATTTATGTTATTGTTGTTAGTGCTTTGTTTACATTGGCAGTGGTGTCAGATTCTACCTAGAGTGCATCTTGCCACTCTTGTCAATGTTGATCTGAACTGGTGAGAAGTGTGAAAGTGAGGGAGACATAGGAACCGAATCTGAGTCAGGGTGGGCTCCCTATGACTGGCTCACTCCTGCCTGTTGCCAGAGGGTGTTGGGGACCATACAGGTAATAGCAAGAGGTGAAGAAGACACCTTTTATTAGTTATTGCTGGTACTGTTTAGTTCTACACACATTATATTACACAAGACAAGTCTCATCATTCTTTCTTTTTTTTTTTTTTTTTTTTTTTTAGCCTTTTCCTACTAGTGAAAAAATAAGCCTGGCTATTTTGATAATTTCACATTTCTGTAATACTTGGTTTTTATGGGAGTTTTCACACTGTCAGGTTGCCTTCCTGAGAACAGGGAAAGCCTTCATAGAATACTAACAACAAATTGTTATCTATTCACAGCTAGTATTGTCTCCCTGAAATAGTCTAGGTAAGGAAACAAATGGAAGATTTTGACAGTCTTTGAAAGTAGAATGCCTGCTAAAAAAAAAAACAGCAGGGTGGGTTTTCTGAGGTGTGTTAAATATGTGTGCCCTGCAGTCTGCAGACTTAGTGTGCTGCAGAACATCACACATGAAGGTATTTTTGGTTGCTGTAGAGAAGAGCACACTTATAAATCTGTTAGAAACATAGGCACCCACACCTAGCAGATTTCTTATAAGTAAATTTGTTACTTTATTTGAGGTTGATGGAAAGTGTTATGTATTTAGAGTGCACTTAATTATTTACCATTGTATAAAGACTGTTGAGTTCTCTGTACTTTAGTGAAGCATAGTATTAACCTAGAACATGAGTTGGGGGAGGGTACCAAAGCAGGGTGGTGGGTATTATTCATCAGCTAGGTCTATCTCATTTGTAGAATGAAAAGGATTAAGATGTAGGCTTTGCTTATGTGAATGTATGTGTGGTTTAATTTCTGTAGTGTGTTTCTGGGTGACCTTCCTCTGGTAAGTTATTCATATTCACTTGGATTTCAATCACATTAGTTTAGGGAACCAAATTTGAAATCACCATCAGATGAGTTTTGGTGTTGGAGGGATTAGCCGTTGAACAAAACTTCTTATTCATGGTTGAGGATTAGATTTGGAATAGGAGCAGTTTGGACTAGTTTCTGCATCTGGCTTGGGGCCTTCGAGGTCTTTTTTCTACTTTCTATTTATTGTTGGACATCTGTAGCTCATTTGGGCATAGTTTTCTCATGAATGATACTGTTAACTTTCTGAAATCTTTTATTACATCTTGAAGGGTATCTTTCATTGAAAAAAATTGTCTACTGGATGAAAAACTAGAATTTGAATGACAGCCTTCTTTATAATATTAGATGGCATTTAAATTTTGGGGGTGCAAGAATGAGGCAAATGGCATATAAACGAAGGACGGGCTGACTTGGAATGGGACTTTGATTGACAGTGGCTGTTGTTCTGGATGACTCCTCTCCATCAAGTTCCACACTAAGCCTTATGCATACTATCTCATTTAAATTTCATTAAAAATCCTGGGTTTACAGATGCTGAATGAGAGTTCAGAAAGTGTAAGTGAACTACATAAGGACACACAGCAAAAAAGTTATGAGACCAGTCCTGTGGATTCCAAAGCCTTTTTTTTTTTTTTTTTTTTAAACATGCTGAACAGTCTTTCCTTTCTGCCAAGCATCTTGAAAGGTCTTTGTAGCTAGATTATTCATGATGATGTAAAACACATACAAACATTACGGGTTGCAAAGTGATGCTCCTGGGTCAGATTTGACTAGGAATCTTGCTTAATGTCCAAGTGTGTTAAAACTTGGAAGCTTTCAGGAAAAATCTAGCTTTATTGGAGGAGCTACTTTCTCACCTGGCAACAATTAGTAGCTTCGAATGATGGCCCTTGGGATGTGGTGGTGTGTGTAGTTGCGACAGTATCCATTGCTCCTGATTGTTTTAAGGTATCTCTTTGCTGATTTGTATGTAATTATGAACTTAATAAAAAATATTTAAGGTTGACCTTTGACATAGACATTTCTTTCACCATATTTATTTTAAGGTGCCATCAATTTTAAGATGCATCATTATTTTATGTACCACTAAGAAAAAATGCTGTCAGATTACATGCTGTCAATTTTATGATGCATTTTTTTTTTTTCAGAGATGTTAAAATATGAAAATAACAATGTTTTAGAATGGAGAAATTATAGTAATTAGGAACCTGGGATGACTCCATGCCCCAATCATTCAACTCTTTTTTTGAATGTTGAAGTGTGAACCCAGGACCTCTATCACTGAGCTATACCCCCACCCCCAATCCAACACTTTTTTTTTTTTGCTTATTTTATTTTATATTTAAATTATTTTAATTTTTAAATTTGTTCTATCCAATCCAACACTTTTAAATCACCCTTTAAGTTGGATTTCTTTCTATGTCTGAGAAAGGGATAGAGGGAAATGCTTTTATATGAACATTCGCAGAGAAAACATCTTAAGAATAATTGTTAATTTTTAAAAAGTGCCTTGTATGGTTTTAAGAGACTATTTCATAATTCCTCAGTGCCATCTTTGAGCTGCAAAATGGTTAGGACAAGACTGCTTTTGGAGATTACAGTGTAGATATTATTTGCACCTGAAGGTGGATGCTGAGAGGCAGTTTTCTCAAGGGAAGTAATTCTTGCCAGTCATGCCAACTCCACAGCCTGTGTCAGGCTTGGCATGCTCTGTGAGGTGCAGTATATCCAGGACCTGGGCCACCACTCTCAGAGTCTATGCCATGATTGCTAATGTTTTAAGAATATCTAAAAAGGGCTACATTTTGTGGTGACATTTACAAGTAGCTGTTTGTTTTTGAAGTGCTGGAAATTGAGCCCAGGGCCTCATGCATACCAGACAAGCATTCTGCCACAGAGCTATACCTCTAGCCCAAAGCAGTATTTTAAACTGGCAGGTATTGTACATTGCTTTAAATTTAACACTCATTAATTTAATTTAAATTCACATCAAGGAGGTAGTATCTGTGAAATTTATACATTTTTGATATTTTTGTTTATATTATTTTCAGTTTTATTAAATCAGAATTTTTGAATTACTTCATTACTGAAAAAGCAGTTTCC